CGCTGCGGCCGCAACCCGCGCCAGGCGTGCCTCGGGCGCTCGTGAGCGCTATCTCCGAGCTATCTTTGAAGGGCGCCACAGTCGGCGCCTTCGCTGTAGCCTTTGCGGCCGCTGCGGCCGCCGCCCACGCCAGGCGTGCCTCGGGGGCTCGTGAGCGCTATCTCCGAGCTATCTTTGAAGGACGCCACAGTCGGCGCTTTCGCTGTAGCCTCTGCGCCCGCTGCGGCCGCAACCCACGCCAGGCGTGCCTCGAGCGCTCGTCAGTGCTATCTCCGAGCTATTTTTGAAGGACGCCACCGTCGGCGCCTTCGCTGTAGCCTTTGCGCCCGCTGCGGCCGCCGCCCACGCCAGGCGCTCCGCGGGCGCTCGTGAGCGCTATCTCCGTGCTATCTTTGAAGGACGCCACAGTCGGCGCCTTCGCTGTAGCCTTTTCGCCCGCTGCGGCCGCCGCCCACGCCAGGCGTGCCTCGGGCGCTCGTGAGCGCTATCTCCGAGCTATCTTTGAAGGACGCCACAGTCGGCGCCTTCGCTGTAGCCTTTGCGCCCGCTGCGGCCGCCGCCACGCCAGGCGTGCCTCGGGCGCTCGTGAGCGCTATCTCCGAGCTATCTTTGAAGGACGCCACAGTCGGCGCCTTCGCTGTAGCCTTTGCGCCCGCTGCGGCCGCCGCCCACGCCAGGCGTGCCTCGGGCGCTCGTGAGCGCTATCTCCGAGCTATCTTCGAAGGACGCCACAGTCGGCGCCTTCGCTGTAGCCTTTGCGCCCGCTGCGGCCGCCGCCCACGCCAGGCGTGCCTCGGGCGCTCGTGAGCGCTATCTCCGAGCTATCTTTGAAGGACGCCACAGTCGGCGCCTTCGCTGTAGCTTTTGCGCCCGCTGCGGCCGCCGCCCACGCCAGGCGTGCCTCGGGCGCTCATGAGCGCTATCTCCGAGCTATCTTTGAAGGACGCCACAGTCGGCGCCTTCGCTGTAGCCTCTGCGCCCGCCGCGGCCGCCGCCCACGCCAGGCGTTTGCCTCGGGCGCTCGTCAGGGCCCCCCGGGGGCCATATCCCCCCCCCCCCGAGCTTGTCTTGAAGGGACGCCACAGTCGGCGCCTTCGCTGTAGCCTTTGCGCCCGCTGCGGCCGCCGCCCACGCCAGGCGTGCCGCGGGCGCTCGTCAGCGCTATCTCCGAGCTATCTTTGAAGGACGCCACAGTCGGCGCCTTCGCTGTAGCCTTCGCGGCCGCTGCGGCCGCCGCCCACGCCAGGCGTGCAAATGGCCCGCCCCTACGTCTGACGAGCGGCACCCCATCTCCGAGCTACTAACATTATTTGAAGGATGCCACAGTCCTCACGCGCCCAGCCTTCGCTGTAGCCTTTGCGCTTCGCTGCCCAAGAGAGGCCCGCGGCCAGCCAGGAGCCGTGCCTCGGGCGCTCGGGAGCCCCGCGACCAACCGAGAAGACTCCCACTCTTGAAGGGCGCCACAGTCGGCGCTTTTCGCTGTAGCCTGCCAGAGAGCGCCCGCTGCACGGCGGACCCCCGCGCCACCACGCCAGCCGTTTCTCCCTCGGGGCGCTCCGTGAGCGCTATCTCCGAGCGATCTTGAAGGACGCCCACAGAACTGCCGCCTTCGCTGTAGCCTTTGCGCCCGCTGCGGCCCGCGGCCCACGCGGGCGGCTCGGGGCGCTCGTGAGCGCTATACTCCGAGCTATCTTTGAAGGACGCCACAGTCGGCGCCTTCGCTGTAGCCTTTGCGCCCGCTGCGGCCGCCGCCCACGCCAGGCGTGCCTCGGGCGCTCGTGAGCGCTATCTCCGAGCTATCTTTGAAGGACGCCACAGTCGGGGCCTTCGCTGTAGCCTTTGCGGCCGCTGCGGCCGCCGCCCACGCCAGGCGTGCCTCGGGCGCTCGTGAGCGCTATCTCCGAGCTATCTTTGAAGGACGCCACAGTCGGCGCCTTCGCTGTAGCCTTTGCGCCCGCTGCGGCCGCGGCCCGCGCCAGGCGTGCCTCGGGCGCTCGTGAGCGCTATCTCCGAGCTATCTTTGAAGGACGCCACAGTCGGCGCCTTCGCTGTAGCCTTGGCGGCCGCTGCGGCCGCGGCCCACGCCAGGCGTGCCTCGGGCGCTCGTGAGCGCTATCTCCGAGCTATCTTTGAAGGACGCCACAATCGGCGCCTTCGCTGTAGCCTTTGCGCCCGCTGCGGCCGCCGCCCACGCCAGGCGTGCTTCGGGCGCTCGTGAGCGCTATCTCCGAGCTATCTTTGAAGGGCGCCACAGTCGGGGCCTGCCGTGGGCCTTTGCGCAGCTGCGCCGATCGCGGCCCAAGCAAGGCGTGCCTCGGGCGCTCGTGAGCGCTATCTCCGAGCTATCTTTGAAGGATGCCACAGTCGGCGCCTTCGCTGTAGCCTTTGCGCCCGCTGCGGCTGCCGCCCACGCCAGGCGTGCCTCGGGCGCTCGTGAGCGCTATCTCCGAGCTATCTTTGAAGGACGCCAAAGTCGGCGCGTTCGCTGTAGCCTTTGCGCCCGCTGCGGCCGCCGCCCACGCCAGGCGTGCCTCGGGCGCTCGTGAGCGCTATCTACGAGCTATCTTTGAAGGACGCCACAGTCGGCGCCTTCGCTGTAGCCTTTGCGCCCGCTGCGGCCGCCGCCCACGCCAGGCGTGCCGCGGGCGCTCGTCAGCGCTATCTCCGAGCTATCTTTGAAGGACGCCAACCGTCCGGCGCCTTTCGCTGCAGCCGTGGAGGCCCCGCTGCGGCCGCCGCCCACGCCAGGCGTGCCTCGGGCGCTCGTGAGCGCTATCTCCGAGCTATCTTTGAAGGACGCCACAGTCGGCGCCTTCGCTGTAGCCTTTGCGCCCGCTGCGGCCGCGGCCCACGCCAGGCGTGCGTCGGGCGCTCGTGAGCGCTATCTCCGAGCTATCTTTGAAGGACGCCACAGTCGGCGCCTTCGCTGTAGCCTTTGCGCCCGCTGCGGCCGCCGCCCACGCCAAGCGTGCCTCGGGCGCTAGTGAGCGCTATCTCCGAGCTATCTTTGAAGGACGCCACAGTCGGCGCCTTCGCTGTAGCCTTTGCGCCCGCTGCGGCCGCCGCCCGCGCCAGGCGTGCCTCGGGCGCTCGTGAGCGCTATCTCCGAGCTATCTTTGAAGGACGCCACAGTCGGCGCCTTCGCTGTAGCCTTTTGCGCCCGCTGCGGCCGCCGCCCACGCCAGGCGTGCCGCGGGCGCTCGTGAGCGCTATCTCCGAGCTATCTTTGAAGGACGCCACAGTCGGCGCCTTCGCTGTAGCCTCTGCGGCCGCTGCGGCCGCCGCCCACGCCAGGTGCGGCCGCGCGTGGAGTACGTCAGCGCATCTTCGAGCATATTGAAGGACGCCACCGTCGGCGCCTTCGCTGTAGCCTTTGCGCCCGCTGCGGCCGCCGCCCACGCCAGGCGTGCCTCGGGCGCTCGTGAGCGCTATCTCCGAGCTCTTTGAAGGACGCCACAGTCGGCGCCTTCGCTGTAGCCTTTGCGCCCGCTGCGGCCGCGGCCCGCGCCAGGCGTGCCTCGGGCGCTCGTGAGCGCTATCTCCGAGCTATCTTTGGAGCACGGAAGAGGGCGGGCGCCTGCGAGTCGGCCGTGCGCGGAGCACACGTTGCCCATGGGGAAGAATGGCTCAGGGATGGACACGATAATCTGAAGGAGAGAGGCGGGGAGGGATGCGCAGCACGCAGGCGCTCGGTCAGCGTTGAGAGTATCACAGGCACTGTGTCCAGTATGTGGTGTTACAAGACCTGGTCAGCACCCCGCCAAACGTTTTTCCTTAATCGGGGTAGCAGTTCAATAGACGCGGCAGCAACCGACACGCACGTTGATGAGCTTCTGAGGGTTAAGCTGATGCGTTGGGTCTTCGCACGCAGAGTCGTTCTCGTGGTCGTGGTCGTTCCGGCGCGGTGGTCCAGAAGCTCGCCGATGCATCGGGGATGCGCGTGAGAGTGCCGAAGCCCGGTGAAAGGTTTTGTGTGTCGCGCGGCTGGCCGTGGCGCATCGGCGATGCATTCCAGGGGCACTTGCGTCCCAGAGCAGTGTCTCGTAGAGCATGTCAGAGTCGCGGAAACTCCGAAGGCATTGGCGTTGTTTCGGTCGTCGCAGGGTTCTGCCCTAGGCGATGCAGTGTCAGCAGGAGAAGTTGCACACAGCTGTGGCCATTCACAGACTCGGGAGAGGAGAGGCGACGCACGGGCAGTGTTGGAGAGTGCGTTTTATGGCATGACACGCGCACGTGTTCGCAGGTTGGAAGGGGGAGAGCGAGGGGGAGGGTCTGGCTCCCCCTCGCACACTGTTGAAATGAACATGCGTTGCCAGGGACGAGCTGCTCGCGCACAGGCCTAGGAAACATTTTCGAACACATCTTTCGCAGAGAACAGTAGAGACAGATGTATTGGCGATGTGCTGCAGTAGTCATTCGGAGCAGGGAGTGTTTCAAATGGATGGAGAGATGCATGGGCGGTGCAGTTCTCAACGGCAGCCGTCGAGCATGCAGGACTATCTCCGTTGTTCGAAAGTCTGTGAGCGAATGCAGGAGAGCGCGGATGCAATATGCGAGCTTTGGGTGCGAGATGCATTGGCGATGCGTCCCAGCATGTCGCGGTGGAGGCATGCGGTGCAATCCCGCATGGAAAGACAGCGTCGGAACATTTGTATTGGAGTCGCGGCTTTCATTTTCCTGATAGGCGCAGCAGGCAGCGGCCTCTTCCAGATGCACGATGCATTGGCGATGCGCCTCAATGGCCCGCGGCAAATGGTGGAATGCTGGTTGCGCTCCTGAGGGGGCTCTCGACGCAGCGGCGATGCATCGCGGGATGACGCATAGAAATGCTGGAGCATGTACTCTGGCACGCCGCCGCTGCCATTTGGGCTCAGGAGAGATCTACAACGCTCCGGATTGTCTGGCAGGCGCACCCGCCGCCATCAGTCTGTGCAGTTTCTTGACATTGGTACTTGTCGCGCAGTCTCACCATGGGGCCGCGTCACTGCGAGGGATTCGCCATGGGGGACGGCGCCGTGATGGAGTGCTGCTTCAATCCGCACGAGGCTTGGAAGAAGGCGCAGGCCAAGTTCAACGGTCGCTGCATGTGGTGCTCGCCGGTGCGCCTCGAGACGGTCTGCAAGGACGCGCGGCAGTCCAAGTTGGCGGCGAGGTTCTTGGTCATTCTGAACGACTTGGACAAAGGCATCTTCGACGTGGCCGCGGAGCGTCTCGCCGCCCACGAGAACGGAGGCGACGTCGTTGACCGCGCCAACGCCATCCTGGCCGAGCGCGGGGGGCTCGCGGACGGGGCGGCAGAGCCAGCGGCGCCGCTCGAGGAACGCCCGCCCGATGACGAAGATGCGCCAGAGTTGCCGCCTCAGCCGGCGCCCTTGCCTCCGGCGCCTGCGCAGGACCCGCGGCCAACGTCGCAGCAGCGCCGGGCTCATCGGCTTTGCGAAGGCTACGCGCTGGCGCGGGCCATGGGTCGCCAGCTCCGCGGCAAGCAGGACTGCGGCACGTGCGTCTTCTCGACGGCCGCGCCCGGGAATCGCGCTAGGGCGCTTGGCGGGCAATGCGTGTTCTGCACACCAGATCGCATGAAGGAAGCCGCGAGGGATACCATGAAAAAGCAGAACGTGGTCGCCGCCTCGAAGAAGTTCGAGAAGGAGAAGCCCGCAGTCGAAGGCCAGAAGCCCGCGGTGTACGAGAAGGCGCTGGGCCGTCTCCGCAGGCACTTGACAGTGGGCGAGTTCAAAGACATCGTCACGCCGAGGAACTGCTGCCGCGGCGCCGGCGCGGACATGTGCCTCTTCAACACAAAATCCCCAGGGGCTCCGGCGTTCGTCAAGAAGGATGACAAAGGTCTCTGCAGCTGGTGCAATCCGGAGCGGCTGCGGGACATGCAGACGAGCAGGGCAGGCGGCGTGTTGGCGCAGCTCCAGGCGTTCCGGCAGCAGGACGCCGCTGTTGCCGCGAACGCCGAGGCGATTGCCAAGGAGATCCTGGGAGACGACTACATGGCCAAACTGCAGCAGAAACGCGCCAGGGCTCATCAGCAGCGGGCGCGGCATCTCCGGCGCAAGGGGGACCAGAAGAAGCAGTGGGCCGAGGCGCTCAAGAAGCGCAAGCTGCCGAGGGAGTCGCCGCATGACGACCGGGAGACGCGGAAGAGGTACAGGGCGGGCGTCCTTGCCGACCAGAAGAAGGACATGAACTCTTTCTTCCCGGACGAGGCCGATCGGAGAGCGCGGGGTGTCGCGGACGACGTCCCGAAGCCGGAGGACGCTCTCCCGCCGCTGAAGGACGCGACGCACTCCGACTTGTCTGCAGGCCTACGCTCATGGCTGGAGCGTGGTTCCTGGGGGAAGTGCGTGAAGTGCGGATGCCTGCAGCCTCGGCCAATGCACGAGATCGACTTGGCTGGCGACCCGAAGGTGGAGGTGCGCGAGAGCCAGTGTCGCCGCTGCAACGCGGCGCGCGATTACTGGGCGCCGACGCCAGACGATGTTCCTCGGGCGCTCCGCAATCTGTCCGACGACATTGCCCAGGCCCTGAGGCCGATCGAGGTGGACGTGGGCCCGGAGACGCGCTCGACGGATTCGCTGGGACGCTGGAACGGCTACCGCAAGAAGGTGAAGATGATCGCCTTCTACTTCTCGAAGTGGCACGTGGAGGACAAGATCCAGGAGCTGGAGGGGAAGCAGGCGCGAAACACAGCCAGGAAGGCGCACAGGTATTTGCTCTCGTGCGAGGAGTCAGCGTACCGTCGGTTCCACGACATGCACGAGAAGTTCATTGCCAAGCACGGGGAAGACGCGGCGGACAGAACGAGGAAACGCCCGTAACATTTCCTCCAAGAGGTCGGCCTCGAGTGCGCGTTGTGGCCCAGCCTGTACTGGCGCACGGACATGACAGAGACCCACGAGCAGTGGTCTGACGCGCGGCGCGAAGAGAATCGCGAGGCGAAGGACCCGAAGAAGAAGCGCGCCAAGTACGGCTACGACAGCGATGACTCCGACGCAGCAGACGGGCATGGCAAGTGCGACGCGGACGAGCTGGAGCAGGGCGACGACGGAGGGCAACGCACCAGTGTCAAGCGCTCTTTCATGGCGAAGTGCCTCTCTGACCTGATTGGATATCAAAGCGACTTCGAGCTTCTCCAGTTCGTCTTCGACTTGAACCTCTGGGCTACTTTAGGGGCGAAGAAAAATCTGAACTTGGAGAACGTGCCAATGCGCATCCGCATGAAGGGCCACCCGTTCTCGCCGCTGTACTGGAAGGACACGCTGAACGCGCTCGTGGACCTCGTTCGACAAGTGGGGCTGCCCAAGCTGTTCTTCACGATAGCGCCATGGGAGCAGTCCTTCCCGTACCACGAGTGGCTCCGCGACGAGATGCACAAGACGCTGAGGACGCGGATGCACTTGCCCGTGGGCGAGGTACCCTTCTTTTGCTTTTTTTTTGTTTTTACTGCCTGTCTTTTTTTTTTGCACATCACCCACTCGCTTTTTATTTTTTTGTTTTTTTTTTTTTTTTTTGTTTTTTTTTTTCTTTTTGTTTTTTTTTTCTTCTTTTTTTTTTGTTTATGCAGATCGTCCGCGGCGTCATCGCAGGCAACAACCAGCAGAGCCAGGATCGGGCTGATCGAAGGTGGAAGAAGCACGTCTTCTCCTGCAAGACCGAAGACGGCAAGACGACGAAGACTGTCACGTCGTTCACGCGCTTGGAGTTCCAGGACGGGAGCCGCAAGGAGGGCACGAAGCGCTACGACGGATCAGGGCGCCCACATTTGCACGTGCTGTTCTTCGCGGAAGAAGACGTCCTGGCCGACGCCAAGCTCGAGCGGCACCTCTTCGCTTCGAAGACTGATGAGTTCAGTGATCACTTGAAGGGCTACATCGACGGCTCGCAGTTGGACAAGCGGGGCGCTTCCGAGAGCAAGTGGCCGGTGTACAGTGGAGAGCCAGGGTACCATATTCAAGCAGAGAAATTGTTGCTTCAGCATTCCCAGGCCGACAAGGAAGCGGGACTCCGCGCTTTCTGTGTAGACGTTATGGACGCGGTCCCCATCCACCAGGACTGGTTGGAATCGGATGGGGAGTCGCTGCTCTTGCAATACGTCACGAAGTACGTGGCAAAATTCTCGGACTCGAGCTACGACGAGTGGATGAATGGCCAGGCGTCCGCGGACAGCGTGGCCCGCAGAGTCTGCTTCGAGTACCACCCGTACGAGCCCGAGATGATTCTGCAGCTCTGCGGTGCGCAGTTCCGCCAGGTCGACATCTCCGCGGTCAGCGGAGGGTGGAGGTCGGTGACAGCTCCTTACGTCGGCATGGCGGAGACGCCCGCGTGGGTGGAGAAGTACGCCACCTGCGAGTGGCGGAGCGAGGAGATGTGCCTGCTGGAGTGGCTGCGGAAGACGAACGACGATGGCAGGATTGCTGGGTGGCTGAAAGCTCGCCACAAGGCGGCTCTATACGAGGCCGCGTACCAGCATCACTGCGCCACGTTGACGCCCGGAGGAGAGCCGCCGTCGCCCGCAGGATTTCGCAGCGATCTCCGGAAGCAGTACAAGCAGAGCGGCGAGGGTGCTCCGTTCTTGGTGTGGATGGAGGAGATGTCCGTGCGCGCGGGCGCGAGCGCCGCCGAGTTCCCTTCGCTGGAGGAGTTCGCGCGGGACTACGTCGTGAGAGGCGAGAAGATTGTCGCGGTGGACACGGTTTTCGAGTTCAACGACCGGTACTACGGGCAATGGGCGGCCATGAATGTGCCATTCCGGGACTTGGAGGATTTGCGATTCGACGTGGTGGACAAGTTCGTGCCGGCGAAGTTCCGGCACCTCGCCGCGGCGCTGAAGCTCTGCGCCAACCGCAGCAGAGTCCCCGAGGAATTCCGCGAGCTGTTCGTCGACGAGAGGAAGTTCATGGTTCATGGATCACATGAGAAGCGCGGCGAGCTCCCAGAAGTTCAGCGAAAGCGTATACCGCATGATTGTCGGGCAGCGGAAGCTCATCGACATGTACCTCACGGGTGTCCTGGACAAGAACGACGAGAGAACCGCGCGGGACGCCGAGGCCGCCGCGACTGGGGGCGGCCGGCAGGCGCGCGATGGAGCGCAAGCAGACGTGACCTTCCTTCGGAAGCAGTTGCATGTCGAGGAGACGGTCAACGAGAGCGTGGATCGCGCTCTGCAGGCGAATCATTCGGAGAACTGGGAGGAGGCAGACGAGGCGCGCGAGGAGGCTTTCCAGAAGAACAAACCGATAGTATGCCTCGGGAAGCCAGGGACGGGGAAGACCACGGTCGTCAAGTGCTGCATCCGCCGCGCGCAGGAGCGAGGCGCCCGCGTCCTGTTCGCCCTCCCGACGGCGCAGCTGTCGAGTCGCATGAAGCAGGTCTTGCAGGACCTGGAGAGCGTAGAGATCGCGACGTGCCATGCGGCGTTTCAGGCTGAACAAACCCATCACAGAGGCGCTCCCGCTGATGACCATGTACGACCTGGTCGTCGTGGACGAGGTGTCGCTCTTGGACTGCCCGCAGTTCGAGCGACTGATCAAACTGTGGAGCGTGGCAGAGAAAGTGCCCGCGCTGGTCTTCCTTGGGGATAAGTGCCAGCTGCCGGGCGTTGGAGAGACGCGTCCGTGGGAGAGCGCTGCGTGGCCTCGCCCGAATTGCTACCACGTGAAACTGGACGAGACGCGGCGCTGCAAGGAGGAACGCTTCCAGCACATCCTGGACGAGCTCCGCACGAGCAAGCCGTCGAAGGAAACGCTGCAGAATATCTGTCGCGGCCACAAGGCATGGAAGATCGGCGCGCCGACTCCGGCAGACCTGAAGACGCTGTTCGAGAAACACCCGGAGACGCGGATTGTGACCTGCACGCGCAAAGGCGCCGCCACCGTGAATGAGGCCGCCATCGTTGCTCTGTGCGGCCGGAAGAGTCCCCTGGGTACGCTCCCCGGGGACGTGGAGCTGAATCCGGAGAACTATTGGGACGGCAAATTTCGCACAGACCGCCGGCCCATTCCAAGCGCAGTTCCCGTGTACAAGAAGATGCAGGTCTACTTGACGAAGAACGTGCGCAAAGAGGATGACTACGTGAACGGCATGCTCTGCGAGGTGGAGAATTATCATGCCGACGAGGACATGCTGCGCGTGCGCACCAAAACGGGCCACCGCCTGGCGATAGTCGAAAGTGAGCCTGGTAACTCAAATAGGGCATATAGCCTGGCAAATAGCATCCATCGCTCTGCTGTGAGGGTACAGTATGAGGGGTGGATGGGTAAGATAGGATAAGATCGATGTAATGATCTTTCCAGCACATAGCGAACACAAGCAGTGTCCGGGCAAATAGGGCGCGCGTGCCTTGAGCCCAAGGCAGCGGCGCGCGAGCTATGCTCCCGATACTATAACATCTCCCAAAGAGCTACCCTCAAAGTCGGGAGGGGAGGAGACGGAGAGCATAGTCGCACGCAAAATTCGCGCGCACGACTGTTTGCAAAGAAATGAAAACAGTGCGTACAGACTGGCCAAACGCCAGACTGTAAGGCGAGTTTCCTCGCGAAATATTTCACGCAAATACAGAACAGCCCCTTCAAATAATGAAGGGCTATCGGCCTAGTTAGAGGTAGGCCAAAATTAGGCCATACCTCACCAAGCAAATGTGTATTAAGGCAAAGAGCCTGAGTTGTATGAAGCCGGCTCGTTGCCAGGCGTGAAATATGAGGCTCGTTTCCGAGCAACTAGAGGGGCGCCTGTATAGTAGGCGCCCGTGCTGGCAAACTGGACCACGAGGGCAACAAGGACAGACTAAAATTGATTAGACTTAGGTTTGTCTCTGTCCTCGGGACCCCGAAAGGGAACAAATTGCTTCACGTCATACTTAAATGACTGAGTGCCTGACATCACTTCCAGAAGCAGTTCCCGATCGATGCTTCCCTTTGTATGCCCATCTGCGGTCATATCCCTAGTATCACACCATTGCACGTTATGTACTATACATATTTCCATAAGCTCACGTATCCAACTGATATGTCCAAGCAGAGTCCGTTCTGTGGGTATTTTGAGATCCCTGCTTGATAAAGATTTGCAGACGGACTCAGCGTCTATGGTCAGAGAGACTTTGATAGCAAGGCCTCCAACTTCACGCATATCTCGTAGTTGTCGTGGAGTCAAGGCCCCTGCCTTAAGCTCATGGAGAGTAATGAGCGTAGGGTAACACTCATCAAGGTTATGCGCGGCTGCAAGTGCCTCCGCAGCATAACTGGACCTCACCTGTAATCGGTGTGATTTGCATAGTCCGTCACAGAGGTGAACGACGGACTTGCCTTGAGGCGAGTTTCCTCGCCGCAGTACGTTGGCCCCGCGTATGCCGTAGCCCTTGGTCTCGTCATCCTCCTCCCCGGTAAGCTTCCGATATCCCGAATCGCTATGGATGTCGACTTCATTCGTCGGCTTCATCCGAGGGAAGGTGATACGTTTCGGACTGCTGATCAGCTTTCGCGTCACAGCATTCAAACGTCTGACTTGTAAATTGGTGGGCTCTTGAATTTTCTGAAGAGAGACCACATATACCATAAGCCAGATTTGACTAAGAAGGGCATAGGCGAGGGCTCCTCGCAGGCTGACGAATATGTCGGTAATAAGTTTGGTGGCTTTGGCGTCGGCCGCCGCTCCTGTAAGTTCTGGATGTGTGATAGGACGTAGTTGTTTGATATGCTCGTCCTGGTCCATGATCACATCTCCCTGATCATTCTTAGTGTAGCGGACGGCACAGTTCGTATATGTGTGCTTGTTGAGCTTGCATTTGCCAAAAACCTTTTCGACGCGTTGTACATAGTCGTCGATATTTTTCTCTAGACCTGTCATATTAATGTCATCGACATGTTTTGCAGTCAGAAGATCTTGGCTGAATTCAAATTCAGGATCGTAACTAGTCGGTGAAAGTCCTATAGCTCGTGTGGTCGTACGAAGTTTGAGAGAGAACGCTCTTGGGGCGTCCTTAGTGCCCGTTCCTGGTTTGAGGCACCTAAGACAGTGTCGACTTTCGTCGTAGGATGAGAAGCCGGGTAGGGTACGAAGTACCTGAGCGCTTCCTGGTGGAAGAGTAAAGCAGACCATGCGAGTTTCCTCGCCAGTGGCATGGGCAAGTTCCTCGTAGGTCAAACCTTTTAGGAACGCCTTATCGATGTCCATGGATGCTAAGATCCACTCTGGATGACATGCCGCTTCACTTGCCAGGAGTCGTTGAGACTGCCTTCGGGCGGTTCCCGAAAATGTTTCCACATCAAAGGCCTCAGTATCCATAAATCCACGAAGGACCAATCTGAGACGAATGGTTTTAACGTTCTCGGTGCCCATCTTTACGAACTTCCACTTGTATACATATCTGGATGTCATGATGTTGGAAGCTTTGGATAAGTCGTGCATCTCAAATCATCGGTTATCAATCCAGATCTTGAGCTCAGTATATAAGGCTTCACTAACCTCCTTTGGATGTGCTGCTATGTCGGCTTTGGTCAGTAGGTCGTCTTCTTTGACAACCACAGCACGTTTAGCAGCATTGGATACATATACTCTCATCGTTGCGACCATATCGGTATCGAGCTGTGCAAGTTGGGTCTGATCCAACACTATTTTTGACATTTCTGATGTAAAGCATAGTTCAACGTAAGGACCATATTCATCACTGTCTAGGGAATAGCTCTCGTCGTTTGTGTTCGAACAAAGAGATACTAGACAATACTCCCATGATTTAGGCTCGTCTCCGAGCATATCTGATGATGTAATATCATCTTCGTCCGCAAATGCTGAAACCAAAACGCATTGGTTAGGCAGCATAGTTGTTGGGACGCAATAGAGATAATCATCTGTAATCGTCGTAGGATGAAGGTCCATACGTAGTTCGTCGTACCACTCTTCCAGCATCATGGCTTCGATATTGTGTTCCTCATTTTCCTCATAGATTGTCGACAGACGGCCTTCGCTAGGCGATGAAGCATATGGTGTGTCTGGAGAAGGCCTGTTTCCAGGCGACTCGTGTTCTCCAGACGTGTTGCTTGGATGCTGATATTTAGCCAGGTCATCGTGAAATCCTAAGGAAGGGACACGTGAAGTCAAGCATTGAATAAGTCTGGAGTGAGTGCTACCAGTAATCTGAAAGATGTTTAGGCCGGTGCCCACACATTCGTAGTAGTGGAACGCCGGGCTAATGTCATTGTCATAGTGGATCAGCGTAGACCCGGTGGCGTACTTTACTGCAGGTAGGCTTGACACACTCTTAGCCAATCGAACTGCTACTACATGTTCCACTCTGAGTAATTTCGTACGAGATATTGTAGTGCTAGGTGTACGCGCGGGTGAAACTTGCTATCGTCTGACAGGTTAAGGTTTCCCTTGTAGTCGGGGATATACCCGAAAACTTTGGCAGGTTTCCCTGCGCTGAGGTGTGCCACATAAGCAAGGACGGTTTGCATGGCCATATTATCCATGCCAAGTTCCCGTGTGAGGAGACATTCGATGCATAGTGTGTGACGAGCATCAGGATACATCACAATTACCTCACGAGATCCTGCCTTGACAACAATATGTCCTCTTTCAGGCACGTTTCGGATCACCGGGAATGGGCCGTTCCAGCCTCCACGGTCGCCCTTGGTGGCAGTAGGTCGGTGGTAGTCGACCAAATCCCCTGATGAGTAGAGGCGAGCACCATCAGAAGTCGTCTTAGCCCTAAGAGCCCGATTTGTCTTGGCTACAGCAGTAGCCTGAGTTATAGCTTCGAGGCTGACTTCCCTTACACGACGTTCTCGTTCGTGTCCTGAAGTCTCGGGTCCCTTGGGAAAGTCAAGGGTATCGAGATCAGGAAAGAAGGAGGGCTGACGTCCTGTGTGTGCCTGATATGGCGATACTCCGTTATAAAACGTAAACGCATTAGTAACGAAGATGCCTTCCGCCAACACTCTAGTGATTACAACAAGGATGTTGTGTCTATTCAATTCTTCCTCAATCATGTGGAGGAGGCCTCTGAGAATGCCGTTTCGTGACTCAATTGAAGTCGCGTGTTGGCCAGGTGCACGGATGCGAAGTTCCGTGCCCTTATTGGCCATCATGGTTTTATCGGCATCCTTATTCAGGGCGCCTTCTCCGTCTGAGTATAAAACTTTGAAGGGTCCGTGATAGGCAATCCAGCAATAATGGTAGGCGTCGATGATGGTGTCACGTTCTCTGTCGGAAATCTCTAGGCCTGCTGCCAGGCGAATACAACGATCCATAATATGAAATATGGTCCGTTTCTTGTAAACCATGAGGTCCATTTCCCCTTCATCGAGCCAGTTACCAGGGAGGCCTACCGATGGTAATGTTGAGTTTCCTGGACGCTCCCATGCTCTACATTCCCGACAGGTATCGCAGATTTCCTTGATCATGTTCAGTCGAACGTTATCAAGCCCCACCTTTTCGAGGATTAGCCTCATCTTTGGCTCCTTCGCATGATACCATCGCAGATGCAATTTTCGGACTTCCTTTTTCACAACATGGGGTTCGTGACTACGGAGACTCTGTAGACTGTGTTGGATGTCAAATCTCGCCCAGTCGGGTAGTCGTGGAGCCCCAGAGCCGGTGGGGGCAAGAGGGTTCCTTGTAGCTCTCCGTAGTTGATCCCCTGTGTTGACTGCGTCTGGAGGTGGTGGTGCGCCTTGTAGACGTCCGCGGCGGGCCGCTACCTGTGGCGCGTCGCTAGAAGACGCAGAAGGCGTGTTTCCACGCTCGGGGGCGTCTCGTAGCAGGTCGTAGCTGCTGGTACCAGATGTCGGATCGACGTTACCGAAGGATCGTGGTCGTGGTGGCCTGGCGTGTGCGCCTTGGCGGCCACCTGAAGCTGAAGCTTGGCCCTCACCAGGTTTAGGTAAGGGTTTCCACCAAGCTGGCACGGCTTTGCCTTCGGGGTCGTGGTCGTCTGGTAGTTTAAATGGTTCAGCAAAACGACATTTACCAGGTTCGGTATCAAGGTGATTCTTAACACCCTTGCTTCTCGTAAGATCCCTCTGACATGCTGGACATGGCCAGTATACAGAGATAGAGTCATGATAATTGCACTGCGTAGGGTCTCTGTTATGGCTAGGACTGTCCTTTCGGACGTTGTCGAT